GTGCTTAAATAGAAATTAATTTCCACTTTATTTTTACCTCTTCTAATGTGGAACTAGGGGCTGAGAAGTAAGGAGATTTACTAATCGTCATTCAGACAGCCTTACTGATATATGGACATAATAAATGTTAGGGGTTCCCGTAATAGGTTTTCATCATGATATCTTGGGGCCGAGGTAGTGGCTATTTTGCCAAGTTCTCGGGATTATGGGACATAAATCAGAAGGGATTTCCCTGCCACCACAGAGACCAGTCCCTCTCCTTCAAACCACACTGAAGCTTCTCTTTCATCTGAGTTAAAAGTCATATATTCACTACCTCTGCCAGCCAGATAAAGACAAGACTGATGCCATTTGGATGAATTCAAACTCAGCAATTCAACATCAAATAGATAATAAAGTGTAGTCTTAATAATCTGGAAAGAGAAATTAAATTACTGGACCAAATATTTAAAGATAAGGCTTTACCGTCTGGAGTTTCAGAGGCCCTTACTTTCTGTATTTTGTGCAGTGGTTGTGTGAGAATCCTTGCTTCCTGGTCTTGACAAAATTTACAAGACCGAAGGATCTTCCAGTATCATGTGCTTTCATGAAAACAGCGTAATTGATTGTCTCACTACAACGCCCCACCCTTTATTTTCTGTTTATTCTTTTCATGCAAAAGCAAAATGAGTGAAAGTCTCACCTACTGCTTCTAACACTTGTTATCCAATTTAATCATACAATTTTATATGTAATGCATATATATTTTTTAATAACACTAAGAAAGGGTGAAGCCCCAGGAGTTTTGTTGGCGGCACTTAAAAAAAAACAAAGGACACGGACTGATTTGTGTTGTAAGAATGCTTCTCTCAGCATCTAAATTTGGATCTTAATTGATAGTGCACTCTTATTTATTCGACATTTCTTTTTTCCTCTCATGGAGCCAGACATATCTTATTTTGTATCCTGCTGGAGCATGGAGAGACAACAGTGTCACAGCTGGTTTCTATCCAACACAGAGTCTTTAGGAATTCATCTCTCTCCTTATGGCAGAAGAAAAAGAATACAAGATACCTTGTGTTTTTTTAAGGCAATTTTTGAAACTCATTTTTATCTAAAGTTGCTTTTGTACAGGGGCACATGACCGGCTCAGTCAGAAGAGTACGTGACTCTTGATCTCGGGGTTGCGAGTTTGAGCCCCATGTTGAGTGTAGGGATTACTTAAAAATAAAATCTTTTAAAAATAAATAAATAAAGTAGCTTTGTACAGAAATCACATTCTGATTAAATATAATGATATGGGCTCTGTGCTAATATATTTTAGGAGAAACAAAGGAATGGTTTCCTAGAGGAGTCTGACTCCTCAGTCCCCCACATGTTATATGTGTGATATTTAATGATATTATTATCTTCAATATCCTTATTGAAACTAGTAGCCTGAAGACCAGATCAACAACTGAACACATTATTTAAAAATTACATTGCTTTAGAGCACTGCACTGTATTCACAACCGGTTACCTGACCCTTCTACTTTTCTAAGCATCTCGAAGATTATTCCAAAAGGATAAAGGATTCATGAATGTTATTAATGTTTTTCCACCTCTCAGTATTTACCTTGGAAATGTTGATACTCTGGGACCATCCATTAAAAAAAAATTTTTTTTAATCTTTCGGTAACTTCCGTTTTAAAAAAAAGTCTTCTTTTCCTTCCTTCATGCAACTAACCTTTCTACTGTCAAGTTATTTTCCAGCAATTTATAGTCAGAATTTCATAGTATAGAGTCTCAAATATTCTGAGTTTTAACTCTTTGATTATAAGGCCTCAGAGCAATCATGGACTAGCAAAATTTTTCTCCTCAAACAAATAGTGGTTAACCTTCCAAGATCAAATGACCTATTTCAGTTCGGGAAAAGATGATATTTGATTACAGAATATTCAGAATATGGGGGGAAAATTAGTAAAGCTGTATCAGGGCCTATGTGCATGAACTATACCAAATTCTCCCATTTTGCCACTGAAAATGTATTCAAACACATTCAGAAGAAGTCAGGAGATTGACATGATAGCCAGGTGTACAGGATTCTTTATAGAAAAAGGAAATGTTGCATAATCTTCTTTCTAAAACATCCTTGATGTTTCCCTGAAGCAAACTATATACCTTTAGTAAGGAAAAAACACACACACACACACACACACAATTATCATCAGGTTACCTTAACCTGGTTCCTTGTAAAGACATATTTCTGATGCACATGAGTATTTAAGAGTACTACCACTTGGTGTCTTTGGATAGGATAAAAAGATTTACATAAGATTATCTTTTGTTACAAGGACATACCAGATGTTGGACAGTCACGTGAACTTTCTGGTGGACCAAGAAGTCCACAGTGATGGTCTCTCACACGTCTACACAGTGCACAGTATACAGTACACAGTACAACTCCTATACTGAGGGCCAAAAGCCAAGTGTGCTATGCAGAGCAAACACAAACCCTGCTAATCATAAACCTCTAGATACACACCTCTAGGTAATGCATTTATAGCACCCCACTCTTCAACCCCACAACCTGCAATGAGGACATTTGGTCAAAAGTGTTTCTAAATTTACTGTGAAGGTCAAGTTTGGCTTAACCAGTCTTTCATCAATACTTTTGCTTCCAGAATGTATTTATTACAGCAACTATAATCTCCTATAGGACTGAAATGTATGCTTTCTTAACTTTTTAGTTTGAGTTCATCTTTCATTCTGTTTAGTAGAATTTTTCCAATCATTCAGCCAACGCTAACAGCTAAGGGGAGTTGTGTGCTGGGACTAACTCCCTAAGAATTATCAGCTCAAGGTGAATGAAGGTTCAGAGCCTGCAAAGAGAGAGCTCAGTGAACACAGATCAAGTAGAGAAGGCAGGATTCTTTTCCCTCTTGGCTTATAACACTCTTCTTTGGACTAGCACCTGCGAGATATCCCTTGGTGGGCTTTGTTTGCTTTGTGATCTGCATCTTGGGAATATATTAAGTACATTCTATACTGAATAGCTCGGCCAGTGACAGCCAACATGTGTTTTCCTCTTTTTGGGGGGTCTTCTCCACAGTAAAAGTAAATGTGAATAGTGTTCCTAACAAAGGGAGGTAAAATACTAGGGATGAAAAAGCTACTGGAGAATTAGTGATCAAAAAAAAAGAGGTAAAACCCTTATGTTGTCTTACTCATTTGCTTCCCTTCATTCCCGTTCTCTGACCTGCTTTGTGAGTAATGATTGATTCTCCACACCTGGAGAACACAACACTCTGGTGTGAGCTCCAGCCTGCAGACAAGTTCCTCCATTAGGAGATGAAGTATACAACAGCTTGGGCATCAGTCGTTTCACCTATGAGGTGGTAGGTCCAAGGTCAGTAATAAGAGGTGTCTGTTTTCACTTTGCTTCACATAGATCAGGACAGAAGTCATAGACATACCATGTTAAAATATCAGGAGAGTGCCAAAGTACTAAGAACCAGCAAGTTCCTCTTTTAGTTGGAAGCTAGTGTATATTCTCATACCTAACGTTTCTCCAGTTCCTTCAAGGACCTTTAGTGAATTACTACTGTATTGACATGGCTATCTCTTGGTGCGCACACACCTAGCATGGCAAACCATATTCACACAACCTTATAGCTTCTCGATTTGCATTTGAAAGAAGAGAGTTAGTTCTTCCAGAAGGACGGAAGAAACCATAAATCAAGGAGCTTTCTGTAATAATAACCCAATATTTTTGAAATTTCAGGTTCCCAATTCATGGCCTTCCATTTATCAGTAAAATTAGAGTTAGCCCTGAGTAAGAGGCTGATATTTTTCTAATCATATTTCATATAGATCATGAGTGATTTAAGGACAAGAAGCAGGCCTTGTCAATTGTGTACCCACTGCATTAAATTAATGTTTAAAACAGAAGGTCTTTAATAATTATTGTGGAATTGAGCTGAATTTGCTGATATTCAGCACCAAAAATTATTTTTCAACTTAGATAATTTAGAATACCTTCACATTCTCTTGTTGTACTTTAGCCAGTAGGACTTAACTTAGGAGACAGTGAATAAATTATAATGAAACTTTCTTCCAAGTGGGATTGAATTTACTTCATAAAACCATTGTTTTTTAATCTGTGCATTCTACAAAGGGTGCTCCTAGTGAGAAGAAGAAGAAAAATAAAATACCACAGCATCCTTGAATATAGGTCCAACACTCAAGTCAGCTAATGAAATAGGACCCAAAGAGACTGATGCTGGGACTGAAGAATATAATACTTTTTTCTTTCTTAGAAAGTAGGAAATCTAATTACCTTCAAGTTTCTCACATTTGAGCCATACTACAAATGAGCTGTGTCCAGGTACAGAAAAACCAACAATATTTTATTTATAACCTTATTTTTTTTAGTTTTTGAACTACAAATTCTGGTTCTAGAGGTGTTTAAAAGATCATGGGTTTTATAGATGCTCATATGTAAATTAATCTGTTGTTCGTTTACTTTTTTTCTTTTTTTTCTCTTTTTTCTTTTTCTTTTTTTTTCTTTTTTTCTTTTTCTTTTTCTTTTTTTTTTTTTCCTTTGTCATTGAATGGTTCTCATAAATACAGAACAGGTCATTACATGAAAAATATAAGATCTTGCATTTTTTTTATCTCGTTCTCTCTTAAAAATCTATTTCTAATATTGCATTCCCCATTGGACTACTTCATAAGGGCATGAGGGAAAGAAAGGAAAGAGAAAAAAAAAAAAGAAGGAAAGAAAGACAAAATAGACTGGTTCTCACCACTAGAATTCACCATAAAAATCTCAAAGTATAACAGAATTCTTACAAAATTTCCTAGGCCAGTTCTTTAGGGACTTGAGATCTATGAAAAATATGGCAACCAGGGAAGGCAGGGATGAGATGTGGGAAAATAGTAAATAAGTGCAGCAAAAACAGGTTCTGAGGAATACACATAATTTTGTCTGCTTTAGATCACAATAGAATTTTTAATAAATAAATTTCTTTTCTTTTTTGTTTTTTTTGTAAAGACACTTTTTTGAAACAGTAGATTTAGCCCAGTCATTTGTGTCATTTTTAATAAACTGTCTTTTTTTTATTGTTTGTTTTCTGTAACTCTGTAAATGTTTTAGATTTGAGTCTCTTGTACATTGTCTTTAGAGTTCATTCGGATCAATAACGGTTCATGCACTGAACTGTGTATTGAATTAATTGTGTTAACTGTTGTTGTGTGGTTGAAGGGAGATTTGTAAGAGTTATAGTGATTTAGGTGCTCATGCTCAATAGCAGGCATGGGCAGGTGGCTTTCCATGGGTGTATCTCCTGTAATCTCATCATCCACATTAATGATTTCAACAGTCCTTGTCGGGGCATGATGGTTTTGCCGATGGTGCTGCTTCCTCATCTTGTAGAAAATGACCAGCATCACTGCAGCCATGAGTGTGATGGCCACAAAACAGCCAATGATGATTTTGGTGGTCTTCATGACCTCATCGATTCCTGGGATCCCACTGTTTATGTCAGTCACTGGGATGGTGAATGTTTTTTCTGTCGACCTTGTGCTCTGTGGCGTGAGAGAGGTGGTCACATTGGTGGTCTCCCAGTCAATCACTGGAGTGGGGCCCACGTTGTTATCTGTGGTCCGTGCCTCATCCTGAGAAGGTTCCATAGTCTCTACTGTGACGGTTGAAAAGTAAGAGAAGGGAGTAGTGGTTGCTGCAGTAACATTCAGGGTGGCAGAAGCAGTGGTATTTCCGACAGAATTACTCACCATACATGTGTACATGCCTGTATCTTGCACGGTTACATTCGTGAAATTTAATGTGCCGTCACTGAGCACAGCTATCCGCACTTTGTATGCCCCATGTGTCATGACCGTTCCATTTGGAGTAATCCAAGATACAGAGGTCAGGGATGTGGAGGCCCGACATTTCAGCTCGGCTGCCATGCCCTCAGTGACATTGAGGTCTGCCGGGGGCTCCACAATCACAGGAGCATAGCATGTAAAGTAATTCTGGTCAAGCTCCCCGATGTACCTCCCTTTCAGATTGGGAGGAGTGTTACATCGAGCACAACAAGCTGTGTTGGAGGGGGCCATGTCTTTTATCCACCAGCTGAGCCACAGTATGTCACAGTTACAGTTCCAAGGGTTGTGATGCAAGTGTATCCGCTCTAGGTGATGCAAGGGTGTGAAGAGGTCATGAGGCAGTAGTGTTAGATTGTTGTGTGCCAAGTTTATCTCCACGAGTGACTGAAGGTTATCAAAGGCATTCCGTTCAATCACTTGAATCTGGGACTGGATCATCCACAGTTTTTGAAGGTGCATCAGTCCCTGGAACGAGCCAGGCCTGATGGCTGACAAATGATTCCCAGAAAGATCCAGCTCATCTAGTTTTATGAGAGGTGTAAGGTTAGGGATTTCACGGAGGTTGCACATGGCAAGGTTCAAATACCTCAAGTTGGACAGACCTTCAAAGGCACCTTCTGAGATATATGAAAGCCTTTTCAATTCCCCCAAGTCTAGTCGGCGCAAAGAAGGGATTCTGTTAAAAGCATAAGAAGGAATGCTTTCAATGGGGTTGTTTCTCAACCAGAGCTCCTTCAGTTTAGACAAATATACAAAAGCTCCATTTGGGATGGTAGTAAGACGATTGTCAAAGAGTTCCAGAGTATTGAGGTTTGCCAGACCATTGAAGGCCCCAATTTCAATTGTTCTAATATGATTCCTACTCAACTGTAGGATTTCCAGGTGCCTCAAGTGCTTGAAGCTGTTCACTTTGATGATCTGGATTTGGTTCTCATGGAGGTTCAGCAGACGCGTGTTGGTAGAGATGCCATCTGGAACCTCCCGTAGGTTTTTCCGGACACAAATCACCTTGCTGAACTGGTTGCTGCAGGAGCAGACAGAAGGGCAGGTTTGAGCCCGCACCAGACCAGCCACCACAAGAAGTTGAAGAGCCAGCAGCACCACAAGCAGGGGGTCAAATAGGGCCCTGTTAAACCTAGGACCTATCATTATCTGCTGTGGATGTAAGGTCATCTTGTTCAACATTCATAATTTATCTGGTGTTGGTCCGTCTGGAGTTCAAATAGTCTGCAACATAAGAGCAAAAAAGGGTATTAGATCTCCTCCAAATGTCTTTCTGGAGCAATGTCAGTGACATAATATACCAGCTAAAGCCATCATTTCTCACACTAAGCAAACAACCAATCTAATGTCCTTTTATTGAGCGATGTGGCTCATATTTATAGAGAAAATGTTTCTGTACTTCAAATTAGCAGTCATCCACAGCCCATATCTATCAAGTGTGCACTCACAGAGAATGAGGGGAAACACCTTACAGTAGTGTTCAGCAACCAAGTATGACTTGAATGCATGAGGACATATGAGATGGACCTCATCAGCAGGTTCAAAGGCCAGACCAGATTGGAAAAGTACAGAAAATAAGATTTGGCCCCATACCCAACAAACTGAAAGCTCCCTTACAAAACCAGTAATAGCTGAGATTGTATTGAGGATTCTTCTATATGCCAGGCACCATGGGCTACAGACTTCACAAACAATCCTGTCCAGGAGTAGCTACATAATTTGCAGGGTCCAGTGCCAAATGAGACTGGAGGATGGCTTCTTAAAAATTATGAAGACTTTCAACTCTGTGTAACAACAGAGCATTAACCAAGCGTGGGCCCTTCTGTGCATGGGGTCCTTTTCAATTACATAGGGTGTGTGGACTGATCCTTTCTTGTCCTTACACCACTGCTCTGAGATAAGGAGGATTACTGTCTCCATTTCCAAAATGAAGAAGTTTAATCATAGGGAAACTAACACAAAGTCACAAAGTTCATAAGTACAGAACCAGGACTCACACACTCATCTGACTGGTCCAAGAGCGTATGATCTCAAATCTCCATTAAAAAGTTTCTGGGAGAACAATGGCAAAGACAAAATATTTCTTCATGATTAATTTCTCTAAAATACCTTTTCTGGGGGGTGACCTCAGCTCTGAACCCTGCCTGGCAATTGTGAAGATACACTGAAACAATGGCATGTACAAATGTACATAAACTTTTAGAGATTTTCAAATACCCAAACTCACTATACTATAACAACTGCTACCTACAGGTAGACAGACCACAAATTAAACAAATTAAATAATTTCCATGAAACATGAAACATAACTTTTATGTACAGAGGACACCTTAGTATAACAGAAATACTATATATCTTGTACCCCTACTCTCGCTGATTTTAAGTAGATTTGTTGGAAGCGGAATAAAATAACTTACTTTCTGCATCTCTTCCAGCACAAGAAGGAATTTTAAAGGAGCTTTGGGTTACCCAGTGCTTGTCTCATTCTTATCATGACCTGGACACTTGTGTAATGACTTCTTCCAAACCTCTCATCTCAATAAAGTGTCCCTTCTATGACTCTTGGAAACAAACAAACGAAAAAAAAGGGATGACAATCACTACCTTCCAACTCAAAAAGGCACTAATTTAGTACTTATTATGTGTCACCTTGAACAACTTATTAATCTTCTCTCCATAACACATCCTCCTCACTTGCAAAATGGGAATGACAATAGTGCATGCCCTTAGTGGTGTTGTGAGGATAAAATTAGTTAAAGCAGATAAAGTGCTTCAAATAATGCCTCTCCCATGTTACAAACTCAGTAATGTCAGCCATTATTATTACCGTTCTTGTTCTTGCCCTCACCCAGACATCTTGCTGAGCATATAAAGATGCAGACCATCATCCTTACCCCTGAGGAAATGATCATTTAAAAGGGGAGACACATAGGCCAAAGATGAATCACAATAATATATGTTCATTGGTATGAGGCCAGGCCACTCTGGCACAAGGGCACTGATACCAGATCAGCCCGGTCCGTGCTGGTAAATCAGAGGATTTTAAAAGAAGAGGATCCTGATCTAGGTTCTCTAGAAGAAGTTGATTTAAAAGAAAAAAAAAAAAAAAAAAAAAAGGAAAGAAGAGCATTTTAGCCAAGGAACACATTCAGCCAAGAGACAAGGACCTAGAAAGATGCTTGCACGTCCAGGGACCAGTAAACTGTTCTCTGTGGCATGAGAATGGAGGGCCTGGGAAAGAGACAGTTCTTTCTTTCAGGGTGCTGCAGCTCTAGATTGACTTTTCACACTATATATATATATATAGATATATAGATATATATATATATATACACACACATATATATATGTGTGTGTGTGTGTGTATGTATATATATGTATGTATATATTCTGTATTATATGTATATATATACATATATATGTACACACATATATACATACACACACACACACATATATATATATATACACACACACACACATTCTAGTACTATGATCATTAGTACTAGATCATTAGTCTCTGGTCCTGCTTCTCCCACTATCCTGTGAACACCATGAGGACAGAAGCCATGTCTGATGGTTTTCCTCACCTGTCATACTTTAGACACTGGGTAAAAAGGCTGTTGTAAATGTGTAGAAGCAGTTACTATCTAGTTACAACTCTGTGTATGTGTCATGATAGAGACTAATATAGTAATCATGACTTTCTACTTCCTATATTTTCATCCTTCCTTCCTTCCTTCCTTCCATCTCTCTCTCCTTTCTTTCTTTCATTCTTTCTTCTAAAAGAAAGAGAGAGCTCACCAGTTGGGGGAAGAAGGGCAGAAGGAGAGAAAGAGGGAGAGAATCTTAAGCAGACTCTACACCCAGCATGGAGCCTGATGCAGCGCTCCACCTCATGACCCTGAGATCATGACCTGAGTGGAAATCAGAAGTCTGGACGCTTAACCAACTGAGCCACTCAGGTGACCCTATCTTCTATATTTTCTGATGTTTTGTTATCTGGGGCCTTGTTGTTCCAGAGAAAGCCCCTCAAGGACTAGCCAATTCCTTGAAACAGTAAAGGACTTGCCCACAAGCATGCCTTTCATATTCAAACCAATCAACCTGAAGCCTATACCCCAATCAGCTCTTTTCTCAGGATCTTACAGGGCAATGCCAGCTGCAAGCCTGCTTACCCTGCCTTCTCTTGCTTTCTCTCACAAACCATGATAAAGGCACTTACTCAGAGTTTTCCTTATTCCTTCTACCCATGTGACTGACCCTGGTGCTTCCTTGTGTGGCCCCCTTAGGACATGGCATGCTCCCTCCTCTGGGGAACTGTGAATAAAGAAAATTATGTATCTCTTCAATGACAATTGCCTCCTGATTTGTCTCAATATACCGAAATAATAATAAAATCTACATTTTAAAACAACTAATCACTAAATAGCGGGGGGGGGGGGGAGAGCTGCTCATTTTAATAATATTGTTGATGGCTTTATAGGTCTATTCTATTGTCCCATTTACACAGTGACAACAATAAGATTGGTAGGCTTCTCACCCTGAGCTAGATTAGGAGGTATTTTTTTTTATTATAAATTCAAGCATGACCTTAAAAACCCTTAGGGATTTCCACTTTAAATAGAATCCTACTGGGGCGCCTGGGTGGCTCAGTGGGTTAAAGCCTTTGCCTTCAGCTCAGGTCATGATCTCAGGTTCCTGAGATCGGGCCCCGCATCAGGCTCTCTGCTGAGCGGGGAGGCTGCTTCCTCCTCTCTCTCTTTGCCTGCCTCTCTGACTACTTGTAATCTCTATCAAATAAATAAATAAAATCTTTAAAAAAAAAAAAAAAGAATCCTACTTACATTTCCAGTGACATGACCACTGAAAATTTTTCATTCATATGATTTGGTGTAGTTATACATTTGCTCCCCTCCAACACACACTTTTTAAGGTAACTGGGCATTTAGAAAATAGCACATAAAATCTCTGATACATTAACTGATGGGTATTTTTAGGACTGGGGTCCAAGGGTCCTACTCCCCTAGTTCACCTTCTACCTCCCTACCCTATGACTCTCGGAATCCTAGGGTCTCTGGTAATAGAGATATAGAGAAATAACTGATTGACTGGACATAGCACAGAAGTGAAGAAGCTAAGTCCTTTGCTTAAGATAAGACATTTGCTATCCTTTTCTCTTTAAAATAAGAAATAGCAAAGGAGCCATGTCCCGTGGTCAAAGGAAAAGGCTCTGGTAAAGTCTTCCTAAATTTAAATGCCGGCTTAAACTTCCATGACTCTGCAACTGGGAAAGTTACTTCATTTCTCATTTCTCTTTACTTTACTTTTCCATCTATTCAAAAGGCTTTTGTTAGCAATATCACATATATATATATATGCATATATATATGCATATATATACACACACACACACATCTATCTATATACATATATATGCATATATATACATACATATACTTACCAGCTCATAATTAGCAATTTATAATAAATATGTAAAACATATTCAAACTAAAAATAAAGTGATGGAACACTCAGTTTCTTCCTCTTATATAAGATAGGAATAACACTAATATCTATTACTCAGAATTATAGTAAGGATTAACTGCAATGATCAGAAGCATGCTTTCATATGCAAATGCAATACATTGCAATTAATTGTGGAGTGCATGTGTCTCTCCTTTTTTAATCCCCAGGCTCTTTTATTTTCTATTTCTTACTTATTTCAAGGTCTTTCTACTATTGCTATTAATGAGATTTTCTATAAATCAGTCATAAGTAACGATTTATGAATTATAGCCGGTTCAAAGGTAATTTATAACCCACAGAAAATAACGCTTGGTACGTGCACTGAATCGAATAACCTACTATCAACAAAAGATTTTCTATTTTAAAATCTAAATTATGTTACTTTACATTAAAAGCCATGTTTCAGCATCTCTTTCATAAGATGATTTTATCACATCAAAAAGAAATCAATTTAAAAGTATGCTCTATCCATTACAATGTCATCTGACAGGGTTTATTTACAAATGGATCTGTATGGGTTTTGAATTAAGCTGTAATACTTTTAGCCTTGACCCAGAGGATATTCTGACTCTGTCAACAGACCTTTCTTCTTTCCCTACCCATGCTTCAGTGCACTGAGATACAGGGGGCTGCTCTATTTAGCACAGTTTCATCGCTCAGTTAGCAGAAACTGAGTCTAGGTATTGGAACTAGTT